TCAGTAGCATAAAGGTTCGGCTTCACACGCATTGGGATCCACGGTTCGATTCTCCACGGGCCAGATTCACGAAAGAACTTACGCAAGCACTTACGAATGTGTACATCTTTCCTCAATCTTTGACGGCTTTGGTTACATTTATTAAACAGTTTACGAGCATGAAAACTTGCCAATCAACTGTTGTTATTGTTATAAACAGCCTCCTGGTGCTTCGGAGCTCATTAACTGTTTAATAATTGTAAACAAAGCCGCCAAAGATTGAGAAAAAGATGTACAGGTTCGTAAGTGCTTGCGTAACTGCTTCGTGAATCTGGCCCCCTGGTGAATGGATTGAGTAGAGCGTTGTCTGGGAGTATCCAGCAGCTCAGGTTCGATTCCTCCTCATGGCTCCTATTGAGTTTCTCATTAGTGGATTGAGTGCCTGGGCTAAGAGGCCGATTTTAGGCAAGAATCCTTTATTTTTTTTATTTTTTTTTATTAGCACATTTAGCTATTTCTACATTTGTGCAGCTGCCCTGGATTATATGAAGGGGAGTACAGTGTGTGTCAAAAAGCTAGCTAGCTACGTGATGCTAAAAGTCCCTATCACTCAGGATGGTTAGTCATACAGAGGCGTGTGATAAGTAGTCTGCACTGGCAGACTTTGGGTGCATTATGAGGATATTAAGAATAAGGATCAAGAATTATCAAGGAATTATCAAGGATCAAGAATAACACTAATTAAGAATTCACGAACAAGAATAGGGTAGCGGTGATACTAAACGTCTCTTGAACCCCTAAAGGGGTTCAAGGGACCCCTAATACTGACTTACCAGGTGAAAGAGCTAAGTCAGTATAACTATATAGCATTGGTAAGGGCCTGACAGCTGAATGGACAACGCTTCGGATTTGTAGTCCCAAGGTTCCGGGTTCGATCCCCGGTGGAGGCGGAAACAAATGGGCAGTTTCTTTCACTCTGATGCCCCTGTTCACCTAGCAGTAAATAGGTACCTGGTAATTAGACAGCTGCTTCCTGAGGTATATGTAACAAAAAGGAGGCCTGGTCGAGGACCGGGCCGCGGGGACTCTAGGCCCCGAAATCATCTCAAGATAACCTCAAGATAGCAGTATGTCTACTCAGGGTTTCTTCCTATTAGAGGGTAAAACAAGGTGGGGGGGGGGGGGGGTGTTGAACATGCTGGTAAGACAGCATGTTCACCCGCAGGATGAATGATACAGCTAAATAATTCACCTTGCAGAAAAAAAAAAATACGTTTGCCAGAGTCGACACAGCATATTCCTGCCCCCGTCATAAACAAAGGGAGTGTCGAACTCCACCCAAAAGTTGAGGCTTTTACGGCAAACATGATACTTCAGGCGACGAGACATACACATGGCAGATACATATACATAGACTTATACATGGATACGTCAAAAGTTGACGTAACAAGCTTAACAAGATACAAGAACATAAGATAAATAAATAGATACAAGAACATAATAAGATAAATAAAAAAGATATGTGAATGGAGCATAAAATTTTTTTAAACAAATTAAAATTTAAAAACATACCTCAACTTCTAGGTGTGTGTATACATACATATATATATACGTGGAGAGTGCTTTTGTCTTTGATTCAATATCAGTAGAGTTGGTAATTATTTAATAAATTAGGTCGAGTGGTGTTGGTCGGGTTCGTACACATCTGCGTTACATACTGAAATATTAAAAAAAAGATGAGATTAAAAAAAACTAAAGAAATGGTTGTGAAAATTTGTAAATGAAATAAGTGTGGCAGATTGCCGCGGAAAGAAGCATGGAAGTGCCTTAATTATTTTCTAATTATTGTTTTGGTTAGTTTCTTGGGATAACACTACATATGTTACCATACATAGCTGTTATTAACCCCTTTTTATTATATTTATATATACAAGAGTTCTTACATTCTTGTACAGCCATTAGCACCCACAGCGTTTCAGGCAGGTCCTTAATCCTAATTTCCCCCCGGAATACGACCCACCAAATCGTTTAACAACCAGGTACCCATTAACTACTGGGTGAACAGAGGCTACAGTTAAGGATTGCCACCAGATCAATCCTCCCCGGCCAGGATACGAACCCAGGACAAAGCGCTCGCTAGACAGCAAACATTGCCAGTGTGAAAAATAGCCGACGTTGCATTCCGCAACTGATCAATATGAAACTTCTGTGAAAGATACAAGTCGCATTCTAATTCCCTGCAATCCCAACTCTAATTTGAACAAATATATATGTCAAACAGGACGTCGCATCATAGTTAAGACCAGACACTTGCGTTTAAAATCTACCCTATAATTTAAATCAAGTTCAAGGAATTATTCTAGTAATGTGAACTGGATTTAGTGTTGACTGAAGAGTAACCGCGTCAGAATATGGTTTATGCCAGTAATTTAGAACCCAGACTTGGGTTCAACCTTCACGCCAAGTTTGAGATGACGTATCAAACTTGCGAAAACTTAATGTATCGAGCTTGCGAAAACTTGACATATCAAGCTTGCGAAAACTTGACGTATCAAGCTTGAGAAAACTTGACGTATCAAACTTGCGAAAACTTGACGTATCAAGCTTGAGAAAACTTGACGTATCAAACTTGCGAAAACTTGACGTATCAAGCTTGAGAAAACTTGACGTATCAAACTTGCAAAAATTTGATGTATCAAGCTTGCGAAAACTTGGCGTATCAAGCTTGTGAAAACTTGATGTATCAAGCTTGCAAAAACTTGACGTATCAAGCTTGTGAAAACTTGACGTATCAAGCTTGTGAAAACTTGACGTATCAAGCTTGAGAAAACTTGACGTATCAAGCTTGAGAAAACGACATATCAAGCTTGATGTTTTGACACCTGATGTATCTCAACACATCCTGCAGACGTCTGGCATCAGGTACCTGCATAAAAATGTCGTCAACATACCTGCAGTATATGGCGGGTTTCAAGTCCATGTCAACTAAGACCTTCAGCTCGATGGTACCCATGTAGAAGTTCGCAAACAGGACACCTAGGGGAGAACCCATGGCGACCCCATCTACTTGCTTATACATGTGCCCATCTGGGCTCAAGAAGGGTGCCTCTTTTGTGCAAGCTTCAAGTAGTTTCCTAAGTATGTTTTCTGGTATGTCAAGAGGAGTACATTTGAAGGAGGCATTTGAGCGGAATTCTGTGTTGAGTTTCACTTACGAGATGGAGAAGGATGGGAAGCTGTTCTTTCTAGACGTAACAGTCACGGAAAGGAGCGGAGGCTTCCACACTGCAGTCTACACTAAGGAAACAAACATAAAATGTGCCTCAATGCCAGTAGTGACTGCCCAGACAGGTACAAGAGGAGTGTTGTTAACGCTTATGTTGACAGTGCTCTCAGCCACAGCTCAGGATGGAAGGAAGTCGATGAACAACTCTGTAGGGTAAGGCAGGTGCTAATCAACAATGGCTTCTCTAATGGTTTTGTTGAAGACATCATAAAATGAAGGTGAAATGCCATTCAACCTCTGAAGAGTCAACTAACACAACACATGTACCCCCCTATTAGACTATTTTACAGGAACTTCTTTTCGATGTCTCATAAAACGGAGGAAAGGGTCCTGAAAGATATTGTTGATAGGAATGTTATCCCTACAGACAAAAATCAGAAAATACAATTGACATTTACTATAAAATCAAGAAAACGGTCAACCTACTCATGAAGAACTCTCCAGACACCATAATGCCTTGAAGGAAACCAATGTCGTCTATGCCTTCAAATGCCCACTTGGGGACTGTAAGCACCAAAGAACTCAGTATATAGGCAAGACAACAATGTCTCTTTCCAGGCGATTAACAATGGATAAACAACAGGGCTCCATCAAGGAACATATAATCTCTTCTCACAACCAGACCATCACCAGAGAAATCTTAACAAACAACACAGAAATCATCGATAGATACAGCGATAGCAGGAGGCTCGACATCTGCGAGGCACTACACATCAAAAAGTCAACACCAACAATCAACAGCCAATTAATGCACAACTATATTCCACCCACTTCAAGACTCCGTACCAATATACAAGTGCAGATCCTGATGTTGCAACTGCTGTGTTGTGGTCACTGTACATCTTTTGCATTGCTCTGTTTCTAATTACTTTCTTAATCTGTGATAGACTCTGTGGTATGTAAATGTCTACATTTCTTCTCTTAGTTGCAAGTTTTGCAGCTTCGTCTGCAATGTCGTTTCCTATTATTCCCACATGACTTGGCACCCAGTTGATAAGTACCCGTCGGCCTTGTTGTTTGAGTGTTTGCATTAATGATATGACATTTGTGATCAGATGTGTGTTATCACATATGTGTTCTTGTTGCAAGGTTTCAGTGGCGGTTCTCGAATCTGTATGTATAATAACATGTTGTCGGTGTTCAGCAAGAGCATGTTCCAAAGCCTTTTGAATGGCTAGCTTCTCTGTAAAGTCGAACACCCATTTGAGAGTCTCCAACTATTTACAGAGCTTCCTGCTTTAACTGCTTTAACTGCAGCTCCGGTTTCTTGTCCCCGCTGGTCTACTGATCCATCTGATCTCAGTCCTACATTGTGGCTGGTTGAGCTTGAAACTATTGCTCATTGTTTGTGTTAACGTGGCCTTATACGTTTACTTAAGCTTATATCGTATTCTTTATTCTTTATACAGTACTCAATTAGTATTAAGCTTTAGTCATTTAAGTTTTTCATGCCCGAAACGCTTTGCGTAATAGTGACTTTAGCATTGTATGTACTAGCTCTGTCTATAAATCCATCAATCTTTGTAAAATCTCTTGTATGTATGTACCTTACCTAAATAAACATTTATTTATTTATTATTTATTATTTATTTATTTATTTATACAGTAACTTGATCAAGCTCTTCCTTGCACTACTCTACACTACTGAAGTATTCTAACTTTCCCTCATATCTTGTATTCAGTATTCTGTAAAAAAAAAATATTTAGTCATAAAATTGTATCTACTTTTTTCCAGGAAGAAGATGCCTAAATTCAAGAGCAATGATCGTGTGATGGCTCGTTGGCCAGGCTCGTCCCTGTGGTTTGAAGGAACGGTTATCGACTTGAATGATATTGCATACCAGATACGCTTCAATGATCCTGGCCAATCTGAATTTGTAATCAAATACAAGGATGTTAAAGTAAGTTTTGTTTTGTGTAATGACGTTGACATTTGTAATAAATGTTGTTCAATAATTATTATTATTATTTTGTTGCATCAAATTCCCCGAGGCCTGGTCAAGGACTGGGCCGCGGGAATGTTGATCCTCGGAGTCATTGACGGGTAATAAACAGGTGAGTACTGTCGCGTTGGTCCACTGTTCTACAGTGGTCTACGTGCTTAATTCTCAATCCAGGATCCCAGGTCGAGTCTATGGGCAGGGCAACATGGTTGAGCACATTTCATATCTCAACTGATACTTCTGTTCACCTTGCAGTAAATTGATACCTGGGAGTTGGGCAACTGTTGTGAGTTGCATCCTGGGAAAGGTCTCAGTAGTTGGCTTAGTCGGGGGAGGGTGCCTCGATAATCTTAAGTACAGTACCATACAGACTCCCTGTTTCCAACAAGTGGAATTATTCTCATTTTCAAGTACAGTATCACTTATGGTTTTCCTTTCTTCCCCAGTGTTGGAGCCGGTCGGCCGAACAAACAGCACGCTGGACTGTGATCCTGTGGTCCCGGGTTCGATCCTGGGTGCCGGCGAGAAACAATGGGCAGAGTTTCTTTCACTCTATGCCCTTGTTATCTAGCAGTAAAATAGGTACCTGGGTGTTAGTCAGCTGTCACGGGCTGCTTCCTGGGGGCGGAGGCCTGGTCGAGGACCGGGCCGCAGGGACACTAAGCCCCGAAATCATCTCAAGATAACCTCAAGATGTTTACAAAATGCCTAATCACCCAAATTGAGTTTAAACTTTAAAATACATAAATTTGAGGAAAAACAGTGATTAGCGACTTCTATACCACATGGGTTTACCCGCCAACTTATGTCACAAGCACATTAGGACATTCTGAATACAATAAACTTATATTACATCTCAATTGCCTGGGGATAATTACCTTTCCGAGACTACTTTTTCCGCTTTACAGTGGGAGGCACACATGGGGGATCAGAGATCAACCCACTACTGAGGCGATCCACCCTGAAACATCAGTCGTAATATAATTCAACCTTTCTTTGAGGAATGTTTAGCAATTGCTGAACTACTGAATAAAATTCTGAAACCATCGAACTGTGCATCAAACTGTCTTCCTCACTGTTATCGAGGGGCAGCCCCTCCCTCCATTCACCCCCATTCCATTTTTGAGCCCATTCACGACCTACAGTACTGATGTGGAGGAGGAGAGTGGGCAGGAATAGGGAACCCAGAATGGGTATTTAATTTATCTTGGTGCACTCTTTCTCAGCATCCTTTTAGTAGCTACCAACAGTTTACTCTCTAAAGCAAATGGGAATTGTCAGTGATAGAAACCTCACGACGGGCCTTTTGGAAAGTGGGCGCAGGATTTCGGTTTAAGAGTCGGGTCGCTGATCAAGAACCCCCTTGCAGCAATCGACTAGTATATACGTACTGTATATATGCCTCCATGAAGGATGTACCCCTTTAATGTAAGTACAGTACTATACATAGGCATTACATTGATCAAGCTCACAAGGCGATGAACGGTTAGAGTCAGGTGACCACAGTGAGCCCAATGGAGTTCAATAGCTAATGGACTGCCAATACTCGATTTGACCTCCAGAAGCCTTAGTTTCTCACATTGGCTGTAGATATATTAACAAAATAATCAGACAGTACATTTATTGAGATCATGGACACTGGAAAAGATAATGGTCATTTAATCAAAGAGAGACACATACCTGCTCGATACCTGCTGGATGGGGTTCTGGGATATCTTCTTGGTCCAACAGGCAGTTGCTTGGAATGGCCCGCAGGCCCACATATCCACCACAGCCCGGTTGGTCCGGCAGCTTGAATAAAATTATCTAGTTTTGTTTTGAAGATGTCCACAGTTGTTCCAGCATTCCACATCTTGGAAAGAGGAATCAGGAAGAGAGCATCTGCAGGAGAGGCATTTGTAGTTTGTAAATAGTGGTGAACAGCAGCCACCTAATAGCTTATGGTACACCCTGATATGTAAAAACCCACACCTTCACCAGTCTGCAGGTTCAGTCTTTTGCAGACTGCAAAAAGTACCAGACCAACCCGGCTATGGTAGATATGTGGGCCTGTGGAGCCGTCCCAAACATCAACCTGTTGGACCTAACTCTCTCAAGTCAAGCCTGAGAGAGTCCAAGGGGGAGAAAAAAAAAAAAAGAGTCCACTTCCGTTCCCCGGGCCAAGCTTGGGGAGTGGAAGAACTCGCAGAACCTCATCCAAGTACAATCCAGGTACTATCCGCCACGAAAGGGCTACAACGGAAAGCCGAAAATTTGTTAAGGTAAAAATGAAAGAACTTCTGAAAGGAATTCTTAGGACCAAATGAACAAGAAGCATGTCTCCAATATGTGATGATTGATGGAGATGGACACAAAGTTATTACCCTTTCAGTTGTTGCCTTGAATGATGTTTAGAGTTGTAGAATACAACTCCATGACTGGAATATATAGTTACTGTACATGACTAGGTGGACCAAGTATGGCTGGCATTCCATTTCTCTTTGTTTACATAGATGGCATTGGTGCAGTGAAGCACGGCAGCTATTATGAATGTGTAGAGCCATCTGCTCTGGCCGTAATTTGTATTTCACATATAAAACAAATATACAGTATTTGAAGAGTTTCTGATATACATATTTACTTTTATGCTACTTTTATGCAAAGCTTCAGGGAATGATTGTTTTTTTTTTCTCAGATAACCAATGACTGCAGATTTATCCTATTTTTATTGCTAGCTTCAATACGGTGAGCTGTCTGGTATGGCCGTGTCATGATTAGCCTACAGATGTTAGTTCTATCCCCCAGGGGCCAGATTCACGAAGCAGTTACGCAAGCACTTACGAACCTATACATCTTTTCTGAATCTTTGGCGGCTTTGTTTACAATTATTTAACAGTTAATGAGCTCTGAAGCACCAGGAGGCTGTTTATAACAATAACAACAGTTGATTGGCAAGTTTTCATGCTTGTCAACTGTTTAATAATTGTAAACAAAGCCATAAAAAATTGAGGAAAGATGTACACGTTCGTAAATATTGTACTTACGTAATGCTTCGTGAATTTGGCCCCAGGTCCCCAGGTGTGAGAAGAATTACAAGTCAGTGTGTCAGTGACTTGTCACCACTTTCTTTCCGTGTGTATTGGATGGGTGTCTTAAATGTTACTTTAACTTGAGCTACACAGATACTTTTTACTGCATTGATTTATTTGAAGACTGTTGAGGAAGTGGGTTGCAGCATTTTCTGGTTTCTGTACTTAGAAAGTAATTTGTCTTTTGCAGACTGCTGCAAATTTCAGGACACGTTCTAAGAGTCGTGGAAGATCGGAAAGCCGAGGGAGAACCGGCAGAAGAAAAAGTCCCGGTCGTCGGTCTGCACCAATATCTGAGCCAGAACCAGTCAAAGTTGCCAAACCCAAGGTGGAGGTGAAGAAGGTCACCGAGTCTGTAGTGGAGCACAGAAATGACATTTTTGAGTCGGTAACCTTTTCGCGTCTCTCCCGAGCGGATCTGGCATCTCTGCGCACATCCACGCCCACAAGACAATCTTTGCGCACTGCTTACATGAATGAAAAGGTGAGTTTATCCAGCGAGTTGGTGATCATATTGTACTCATATCCGAGGAATACAAGTCACGCACCACCCTCTCATGGCAGCCTCATTATTGCACCGTTTGTGGTGGAATTGAAGGGAATGTGAATGGAATAAATATGAATGGAATAGTCACATTTATATGAATAGTCTCCCTCAATATTTCCAGGTACTCTTTTTGTTTTAATTTTTTATCCATGTTTTTTGTAATGTTTAGCTTTTCGCTTGTTCAGTCATATTAGCTTTATGCTGTATTTGTATTCATTTTCGGCAACCCTTCTTAGTATTTGGCAGATTCTCTGATTGCCTGAGACTTGTGCTGTTTTTGTCGAACAATAAGACAACTTGACGGTCCCTCCTGGGTGTATTGCTGCACTTGGTTTGCTATCAGCCAACACCCCCCCATTTGGCCAGTCTATATTTTCTTGATTTGACACAACATTTAAGATGAGGGCACTAAAATGCATTAAACTAGGCCATCGACCTAGCCTAACCGTCATATGCATAGAAAACGTGGATATTTGTGAGCTGTTACTTTTCATAGTACTCCTTATTTTGTACATTAAGGACCATAGAGTTCAAAATGAGATGCATTAGTTGAGAGGATGGGTTGGTTTGACGGTGGGAGAAATCGGGCAGAAATGCAGTAGAGGTCAAACGTGATCAACCAGGCTGTGACTCATACGTCAGGCTACGAGCAGCCGTGTCCAACAGCCTGGTTGACCAGTCCAGCAACGAGGAGGCCTGGTCGAGGACCGGGCCGCGGGGTTGCTAAGCCCTGAAATCATCTCAAGGTATCCTCAAGGTAAGGAGGTTACCTTTAGGAGGAATTGGATGTGGAATTTAAAGTGTGCATTTAATGTGAATGAAATAAATTCAGATTCAGATTCAGATTCAGATGTTTATTCAGGTAAGGTATATACATACAAGTGATGTTACATTAATGGATTGATATATAGATAGAGCTAGTACATACAATGCCTAAAGCCACTATTACGCAATGCGTTTCGGGCAACAATGAATGGGGCAGGAAAGATAAAGGCAATTATTAGGAGAAAGCACTAAGGCATTACAGTTATATATATATATATATATATATATATATATATATATATATATATATATATATATATATATATATATATATGCGGAAAAATCCACAGAGAAATATGAAATGAGGTGAATGTTTCGGCTCTGTTAAAGCCTTTGTCAACACCAGACTCAGTCTGGTGTTGACAAAGACTCACCAATCAGTCTGGTGTTGACAAAGGCTTTAACAGAGCCGAAACGTTCACCTCATTTCATATTTCTCTGTGGATTTTTCCGCATAAAATGATCAGTGTTTTGTGATCGTCAATTGCATATATATATATATATATATATATATATATATATATATATATATATATATATATATATATATATATATATATATATATATATATATATATATATATATATATATATATATATCTTGTAACCATCAAATGCATACTAAAGCACAAAAAATAAAAAAGGAAGGGGGTGGTAGGAGAAAAGCACACAGAAACTGAATTGGAGGGGATCTAAACATTCCCTCTAATGCGTTATGCGGTTATGCGTGGTTTCCTCCGAGGCTATGGGTCCCCCTTCTTCCAGCTAGAGAATCTTTGGAGCAGTACGGTGAGATCAAAACCAGCATCCTGGGGTCACCGCTGCCTTAACCACCAGACTATGATGTGCTATGTACAAAGAATTTCTAATGTTAAGGGTATTTTCTGTGGAGAGCCCCTTCGGCTCCCACAAGCTATGCTGGGCTGATGTGTGTATATTATAGTGGCAACAATCAATCGATGGAGTTCAAGGCGTACCGGGGACCACGAGCCAGAACTTGGCCCCCTCAGAGAGGCACACGGAGCAATGGCTTATATACACCCCCCATGTAGTTGGAAGCATTCTATGTCTGCCATCTACCAGGTCAGGCACCCAGAAAGATAGGGATCCCAAAACAAACTACAGCTGGTGAAAAATTGCAACCCGAAAGCTGGACGAGCACGCAGAACTCGACAAACAGAAAACAAGCAAACGAGCATGACGTCACCACAGCCGCCGCGCCACTGTCTGAACAGCTCCCCCCTCCCCGGGAAGGGGAAGGTGGAGTCCCAGACCTCCCGCGCCAGCTACCCAACCCTAGTTCAGACAGAGGATGAATATCAAAAACGCGAAAAAAAACGGCGACTGAAGGGAGGGAGGGATGCCGGGGAGCCTCCGGGTCTCACCCAGAAAATGGCGTTTCATTACATTCAATGTTGGCTTTCTGCAGAGAGCCCTTTCAGCTTCCCCAAACTACCTAACCAAAGAGAAAGGAAAAGACCGCCAGTCTCTCACCATCAAGAAAATCCTGCCTCTACTCTGAAACCCTCAGACTTTAGGGGTGGGGGGGGGAAGCTACGTTCTGACTCGTGGTCCACGTTAGACCTAGAACTCCATCAATTGACTGTTGCCACGGTCTAATATATATGCATCAGCCCGGTTCTGGGGAAACCTCCGGGTCTCACCCAGAAAATGGCGTTTCATTACATTCAACGCTGTTTTTTTTTTATACAAAAGTAATTGCCATAAATAATTTTCCTACATCCACTGTGTACAATACTGTATAATTATCACAGATTGAATATGACGGTCAATTTAACAATGTGGAGGCATTCAACACCAGCAAGAAGCTAGAACCAGCACCAGTACCAACAGCAGCATCAGCACCAACAGCAGCATCAGTGTCAGTATCGGCACCAGTACCCAAAAGCCTCGGCACTCATTCCGACTTGCCCCACAGTAGAGGCTCGGGCGTCAAGTCTGGCATCATTGCTCTCGTCCCATCCCTTGCCACTGTCAGAGCTTTCATCTTGACTATTGTTGTGATTGTCCTGCCGGTTATCCACACCGAGATGTGTACGAAGGTATGTATATCCTACAACTTCATTTGATCACTATTAATCTGTTGTGTGTAATAAGGAGAGGAATAAATGAGTTGTGGAACTTGCAATAAGGAAAGGAATGAATGTGTTGTGGAACTTGCAATAAGGAAAGGAATGAATGTGTTGTGGAACTTGCAATAAGGAAAGGAATGAATGTGTTGTGGAACTTGCAATAAGGAAAGGAATGAATGTGTTGTGAAAATGGTATTTGGGCTATCATGCAATCATAATTTTTTAAGGGAGAGTTCCGAGAGAATATTTACAACGTAAACTTTTTGGGCGGATCACTGCTACTGTACTGAAGAATTGGAAGTTGCTAGCATACATGCTGTATGAATTATTTCTCCTTTGTATTACAATCCTTCGAGTCTAAAATTGCACCAGCTACACACAGCCTAATTTTTACCATCTCATACAGCTGAAGGTAAATGATTTGGACACTCATTTACCCCTATGAACACAGCAAAATGTGAAGACCTGGATATAAATCAGTTGGCTAAATGTGTTATGTTAAAATATGTAGAGTAGTGCTTCAAGGTGAGCAGGGGTATGTAGAATTCTTAGCTTGCTTGCTTTCTTTCTTTGATGTCCAAAGGGTTTGGAAAGGAGAGGGGGGGGGGAGGTGATTATTCTTAGCTTGCAAACAGGTTTCGCTTCAGGTTTTTTCCCCAGAGGCGTTAATTTTCAAGGACCGACTATTATAGTTGTCTTCTCTTGCAGTAATTTATTCATAGTCCCAACACCTTCCTTCTAGGGACTTGACATTAGGGATATCTACAGCAGATACTTCTCCAGGAGATACTATCACCACATAAACTTTTCACTTTTCAAACTGTCTGACTCCTCCTTCAGTCTCTTCCTTTATATATTGTTCCACTTTGTCCTTCAAAGATTCTGGTCATCTGCTTCCGTGATATTTCACCCTTAAAACCCCCCCACCCCCCTTTTCATTACAAGATTCCTGGACATTCTACAATCATGTCCATATCACGTAAATGTATTTTGTATCACCTATGTCATACTCTTGCCCCCCCCCCTCCCTTTTTCATATTACATTTCATATACTTTTCATTTCTATGTCCATCAGAAAAAACTAATTTCTACTGCTTGTACACTTGAGTACTCTGCCTCAACCTTCCATACCTAAGTTACCTTCTTATTTTTACTGAACTAATTACCTAAGTGTAGTTACAGAAGTGTAAGTACTAAGTGTTGTACTGCCTCTCTGGAGTTTGCATAAGAGAGAGAAACAGGGCGTTGTTTATGGTATCGGGAGCCGGTCGGCCGAGCGGACGGCACGCGGCACTTGTGATCCTGTGGTCCCGGGTTCCATCCCAGGCGCCGGCGAGAAACAATGGGCAGAGTTTCTTTCACCCTATGCCCCTGTTACCTAGCAGTAAAATAGGTACCTGGGTGTTGGTCAGCTGTCACGGGCTGCTTCCTGGGGGTGGAGGCCTGGTCGAGGACCGGGCCGCGGGGACACTAAAGAGCCCCGAAATCATCTCAAGATAACCTCAAGATCGTAAAGTGCTCCTTTCCCTGCCTGGGAAGTGCCGACTTATGCATGCTAGGGTTTAGCATGCAGGGTTTAGGAGCATGCCTGCTCTTCCAACCCTGTTGTGGTGACAGTGTTTTCATGTGGATTAGTGAGTAATTAACTAAAAGACAGTTACCATAAGGATAATTAGCTATAAGTCTCTTCATTGGTGGATTGCCTTATATATTTCCTATTCCCCTTCACATCTAGGCGACGAAACAATTTGCAGGTTCCTTGTCACCATTATGTCATGGGTCAGTGAGAGCCTTGTGTGTGTGTGTGTGTGTGTGTGTGGTGTTCTAGGTAGACCCTATGAAATAGATTTTCATTCTCATAGTCAACAAGACTGCATTAGCTGTTATTCAAATCACGAGATTGTGCAGGCATTTATAATTGATATCATTACTCTCTGGGCACAGAGCAAATGCACAGTTATGGAGTTCCCTGCCATTCCCCGCAAGCTTCAGCTGTACTACGACCCATTGGCCGTTGCAATCGTCGCTGGGTTCCTGGTAGCCCAGCTTCTGTTGTACCTCATTCCCCTTGGAAAAGTTGTGAAAACCCGAAGTGGAACGACCGTACGTTGCAATGGTAAGTGTTATTAAGGGTTTGTTTGTTCTTTGAGTACCTCTAAACAACAACATATTTGCCACAAGTACTTTTCTCAACACAATCTTTGTTGATTTGTACTAGATTTAGTACAAATGATTTAGTTCTGTTGTGCTTGTTCTTTGGGTCACCACCAGATGGATCGTAGATCCAGACAAATATTTGATCATAGAATCTGTTCATGTGAACCTGACACATGCACATGAAATAAACAAGGAAAGTGACGACGTTTGGTTTGTTGTAGACCAAAACAGCCGTCACATTCCCTTTTCAAACGTAGGTTGACCAAAACAGCCGTCACTTTCCCTTTTCAAACGTAGGTTGACTGAAACAGCCGTCACTTAGCCCCTTTTCAAACGTAGGTTGGGTTATTAATATTTTGCCATGTTTCTTCTTGAGATTATCTTGAGATGATTTCAGGGCTTTAGTGCCCCCGCGGCCCGGTCCTTGACCAGGCCTCCACCCCCAGGAAGCAGCCTGTGACAGCTGACTAACACCCAGGTACATATTTACTGCTAGGTAACAGGGGCATAGGGTGAAAGAAACTCTGCCCAATGTTTCTCGCCGGCGCCTGGGATCGAACCCAGGACCACAGGATCACAAGTCCCGCGTGCTGTCCGCTCGGCCGACCGGCTTTAGTTTATTCATAGTTTTCTCCCTAATGTTATTGTGATTTTCTGCAGGATATCCATAGTTTTAGCATTAAGCTACATAACTGCTGCCTTTATGTTGGATGGTTTTAACATTTGTTAAAATTCTGATGTTGCAGGGTTAATTGCTTTGCTTGTGACTATAGCAGTAGTACCCACCGCCGTGTACTTTGGCTACGATGTACTGCAAGTGTATTCCAAGTATCGTCAGCTTCTGGCCACTTGCATAGTGCTGGGGGTGGTCCTATCTCTCGCCATGTACGTGAGAGCTAAATTCATCCCCGACGATGCCAAAAACCCTGTGGGAAATTCAGGGTCATTCTTTCCTGATTTCCTCACGGGCTGTGAAGTCAATCCCGTTGTTAAATCAGTAGACCTGAAGTTCTTCTTAGTAAGAGCAATGCATCTTGCTTGGGTAAGTATTTATATGTATACTTTATATAAAATTCTAAAAATGAAATACTCTTTTATTCCCAAGTTTAATAACAAAATATTATTAGCCATGTTTTCCGTTGATAGCTTCTTTCACTCATGTTTTTTTTATCGTATGTACTGTGAGTAACTAGGGTAGGTTATAAACAAGAGTTCTTGCACTCTTGCTAAGCCACTAGCACGCATAGCATTTTGGGCAAGTCCTTGATTCTTATTTCTCCGCTGGAATACGACCTGCCAAATCGTTTAACAACCAGGCACCCATTTACTGCTGGGTGAACAGAGGCGGACAATTAAGGATTGGTGGCTAGTCAATCTTTCCCGGCCAGGATACAAACCCAGGCCAAATATGCAAGGCGATGAGTCACAATAACGTGGCTAAAGTAATTTGACCAGACCACACACTAGAAGGTGAAGGGACGACGACATTTCAGTCCGTCCTGGACCATTCTCAAGTTGATTGTGGTCCAGAATGGTCCAGGACGGACCGAAATGTCGTCGTCCCTTCACCTTCTAGTGTATGGTCTGGTCTTGAGGTTATCTTGAGATGATTTCGGGGCTTTTTTTTTTAGTGTCCCCGCGGCCCGGTCCTCGACCGGGCCTCCACCCCCAGGAAGCAGCCCGTGACAGCTGACTAACACCCAGGTACCTATTTTTTTTTTTACTGCTAGGTAACAGGGGCATAGGGTGAAAGAAACTGCCCATTGTTTCTCGCCGGCGCCTGGGATCGAACCCAGGACCACAGGATCACAAGTACAGCGTGCTGTCCGCTCGGCCGACCGGCTCCCTTAAAAATTGTTTTTCACCGGCGCTGGGAATCAAACCCCGGACCACTGGATTACGTGTCCAGTGTGCTGTCCACTCGGCCACCAGCGCCAACCAGGCCAAATCTCTTGCGAAGTGCGGAGCGTGTGTCTTGCCACAGGGAGACTGTCTTGTAGCATGGGGACTGCTACAATATGAATGAAACATCCAACGCACAAATCCAAATCCACCTTTGCTGTATAATCAAATCCGTTTCCTTGCATCTGTGTAAACTTCATGGCGTGAGCAGTTTCAGCCAGGTTCAAGCCCTGCACAGGTAGAGTTGTCTGGGTACCAATCTTAAGTTGTTAGTTTCCTGCAGTAATTGGTGATCTGAAAATGATTGGCGGGTTGAGTTCCAGGGAAAATATGAATGTCTTAAGATAAGCTATGGCAAGGGAAGCTTGCTAACATGAGGTAGAACTTAACAAACTTGATAATTGTTCTTTGTTCTGCTAATGATTGCTTTCAGGTTGTGGTTAAAGGTTGTGATTTGTTCCTATGTATCATACTGAGCTTGTCAAGGTAATGTTTTGAGTTTGACATGCAACACACTCCCTTCGGTAAATACGTGAAATGAACCAGTGAAGATCAGAGGTGCCATAGGCACAATCAGAGAACACTGTATAAACATCAGAGATCCGCGGTTGTTCAATGTCCTCCCAGCGACTATAAGAAATATTGCCGGAACAACTGTAGACATCTTCAAGAGAAAACTGGACGGTTTTCTAAGAGAAGTTCCGGATCAGCCGGGCTGTGGTGGGTATGTGGCCCTGCGGGCTGCTCCAAGCAACAGCCTGGTGGATCAGACTCACATGTCGAGCCTGGCCTCGGGCCGAGCTTGGGCAGTAGAACAACTCCCAGAACCCCATCAACCAACCCACATACGTAGAGTCAATCCTGAGAGTTTTACTATATAGGGTCAGGTTTGTCTTGTGATGATTTGTTCAAAGTGACTGTTGCTTGGAGTGTCCCGCAGGCCCACATATCCATTACAATCTAGTTAGAGTGGCACGTACCTATCATGAAGGGAATACAGGTAACAGTGCAGGTTGCGAGGCACTGTCTTATGAAACGCCCAAATGTTCACATAAACAATTAGTTTTTCACTATTCTTAATACTATTTCTTCTCCAGATCGTGATTAATATGATAGTGGTGGTGAAGGACTTACAAGCCAAGCCAGGTGTATACAGCCCGACACTTTTGCTGGCATGTGCACTGCAGGTAAATATTTGTATATCTAGAGAGTTGTATAATGTTTGGTCACAATGAGAGTCGGTTATTGGTAAATATCTACATGGGGCTTTTTCCATTCACACCACTTGGTTGTCTGTGGGGTATATTCCTTTTTTTTTTAATAATCTTTACATTTTTAAATTATCTTCCTTTTTTTGTGCTCATGTATGTGTTTCAGCAGAGGTAATGTATCATTTTTGTTTTATATTGTTTGAATTGCTTTTCTGAGCACTAATTACTAACCAAGTGTTAGGGGAGAATTTATCACTTAACGACTTTATGACATGAAGAGTATCGAGATAAATAGTGTTTTTCTTTAGCTTGCCTATAGAATATTTTGATAAAAGCATTGAGGATAGAAAAACAAAAGTGCATAATGAAGACTTCATACATGCATTCAAAGCTGTTTCGTTACAGTCGAGACTAAAGAGCAAGAAATACAGAAAGATAAATATGGAACAGAGAATTAGGGAGCACTGTACCAGGTCTGTTGATCCCTACTAGGTGTCTCCTGTATAAACCCACCTCTCTCACCCATATACCTATCCAATCCTGCTTCATACCTGCTTGATGGGGTTCTGGGAGCTGTTCTACTCCACAAGCCCGGCCCGAGGCCAGGCATGACTTGTGAGAGTTTGGTCCACCAGGCTGTTGCTTGGAGTGGCCCGCAGGCCCACATATACCTGGTTGATGGGGTTCTGGGAGTTGTTCTACTGCCCAAGCCCGGCCCGAGGCCAGGCATGACTTGTGAGAGTTTGGTCCACCAGGCTGTTGCTTGGAGCGGCCCGCAGGCCCACATATACCTGGTTGATGGGGTTCTGGGAGTTGTTCTACTCCACAAGCCCGGCCCGAGGCCAGGCATGACTTGTGAGAGTTTGGTCCACCAGGCTGTTGCTTGGAGCGGCCTTCCCTTCTTGATAACTGTCTCAATAATGCTAGCTGGCAGCTAATTTCTCCCGTCTACAACCAACCGTATTTCAACTAGAAAGTGAAGAGACGACGACGTTTCAACATTTTTTCAGCCACGCTATTGTGACTCCTCGTCTGCATAGGGAAAACCTGTCTGTAATGTTCAAGAATGCTCACTACGTCTAGTATGTTTCCCCCATGCCCCAGCCTTGAAACATCATTTTCATAGGAAAAAATGCCCATATTTCAGTGAATGAAAGCCATTGCAACTGGAAATGAAAACGAACCATAGAATTTGGTTTGAAATACGCTCATTGGCTTTCCCAAGACTCCCAGCTTTTGTTCTCTTTTTCTAATGCTGTGTCCATCTATGAAAAGTATTAAATTTGTGATTGGAGCCATATATATATTACAGTTACCATTTATACCATAATATTTTCCATACTCTATGGGCTAATCTCACTTGAGGGAAATTTTAATTTTAACCTGTCCTATGACGGGCAACTTTCCCTCTAGTCTGTGAACTCGGGTCCACCGTCCCGAGCACCACATCGGTGCACATTTACATAACGGTGCACACACTGTCCCGTCACCACATCGGCACATCCCCTGCTTCACCGAACTCTTGTTTATCTAAGTGGGGGAAGTAAAACGGGTTTGGAAGGTGTGCATTGCAAATGGAGATTTGCAGAAGCGAGGTTTTTGAATCAAGGTTCTCCTATGTTGTATGTACTGAATTTAAGGGAAGAGATGTGATCACTTGGGTTGATCTCCCTAGTAGTAGGCATCATCCATCAGTCTCAGGAGACTATGGAGGTGGGCTCTGGTTGTCGGTCTGGAGTGGCCTCTCCAGGGCACAAAGCCAGGGTAGGTTGATACGGGGGAGAAGCTGTCACCCATGCAGCAGGTCCCCCTCTCTCTCCATGGTGCCGAAATTCTCCAATGGAAGGACAAACGCCAATACGATTGGCACCCCTAGTACTAGCCTTGTAATCTATGTTAATGGAAACTGTTAATTTTTGTCTATTTTTGTACCTTACTAAAGTGAATAGCCAAAGCAACATGACATGCATGTGTATATTTTCAATTTGTCTTTTTTTTTATCCATGTTTTCAGATCTTCTTTGCAATGGATTTTGTCTGGTTTGGAGAGACCTATCTTACGACATATGATTATATGCGGCAGGGGTGCGGCCTCTTCTTCATCGTTCTCAACTTGACGATGCCGTTCATGCTTCCCATCTTCACCAGGCTGGTCCTGAACCACAGGTGAATATTGTGTTTGTTTTATATACGATTAGTGTTACATCGTCGTCCATTCATCCTGTTCCCGCTTTTATGAGGTGAGGTGACCAGGAGAAAACTGCAGTGGAGCAGAGAAAAATTAGGAAAGGTCAAGACATTAGGATAAGACATCCATACGTCCACTTCCTCCCACACGCTTCCCAGCATCACCCCCAAGTGATGACTAAAGGCTAGTTTTTGTATAACATGATAGAAGAGAATTTAGTATTTCCAATCTGTTTTGTATGCGGATAAAAAGTAAAATTACCTTTTTATTTTTCCCCCTAGGACTGAATTTGAGTGGTACTACCTGGCCATGATTGCTACTCTGTATTTAGTGGGCTACACCATCGTTCGTGGCTCCGATTCCCAGAAGCATGCATTCCGCACCAATCCATCGAACCCAGCCTTAGCCCGTAAGTCCTGAATTCAGTCACGGCCCTTGTGGATTTGTTCATTTGATGCATCATGCAATTGTGATTTCTGTGTGTACGTCCCTGAAAGTCCGTCGAATTTAGGAAGTCCTAAAGTGAAACTTTATAATATGTACTGTATTAAGGAAATATGAATGATGGAAATTAAAGACCTATTGTCCCATATGAGGCAGCTCCTATTTATATCCACCCAATATATAGAGTATATATGTGTGTGTGATTACCTAAGTGTAGTTACAGGATGAGAGCTACGCTCGTGGTGTCCCGTCTTTCCGGTACTGTCATATAACGCTTTGAAACTACTGACGGTCTTGGCCTCCTCCACCTTCTCACTTAACCTGTTCCAACTGTCTACCACTCTGTTTGCAAAAGAAAACTTTCTAATGTTTTTCGACAGCTTTATTTCTTTAATTTGAAGCTGCGTTCTCTTGGTCTTGATGTTGCAGTTTCCAAAAATATTTTGTCAATTTTTTCTCAATTCTTGTTGCTGTTTTGTACTTAGTAATCATATCACTTTGTTTTTGTGTTTTTTCTTCTAGCTTAGGTTTATTTAACACATTTAATCTCTCCTCATAGCTCTTGTTTTTAAGTTCCGGAAGCCATTTAGTTGCGCGTGTCTGTATCTTTTCCATTTTATTCTCGTTTTTGAGATATAGGCACCATACAACTGCTGCATATATCAACTTTCGTCTCACAAAGGTCGGAAGCCATTTACTTGCGCGCGTCTGTATCTTTTCCATTTTATTCTCGTTTTTGAGATATAGGCACCATACAACTGCTGCATATATCAACTTTCGTCTCACAAAGGTCGGAAGCCATTTACTTGCGCGCGTCTGTATCTTTTCCATTTTATTCTCGTTTTTGAGATATAGGCACCATACAACTGCTGCATATATCAACTTTCGTCTCACAAAGGTCGGAAGCCATTTACTTGCGCGCGTCTGTATCTTTTCCATTTTATTCTCGTTTTTGAGATATAGGCACCATACAACTGCTGCATATATCAACTTTCGTCTCACAAAGGTCGGAAGCCATTTACTTGCGCGCGTCTGTATCTTTTCCATTTTATTCTCGTTTTTGAGATATAGGCACCATACAACTGCTGCATATATCAACTTTCGTCTCACAAAGGTCGGAAGCCATTTACTTGCGCGCGTCTGTATCTTTTCCATTTTATTCTCGTTTTTGAGATATAGGCACCATACAACTGCTGCATATATCAACTTTCGTCTCACAAAGGTCGGAAGCCATTTACTTGCGCGCGTCTGTATCTTTTCCATTTTATTCTCGTTTTTGAGATATAGGCACCATACAACTGCTGCATATATCAACTTTCGTCTCACAAAGGTCGGAAGCCATTTACTTGCGCGCGTCTGTATCTTTTCCATTTTATTCTCGTTTTTGAGATATAGGCACCATACAACTGCTGCATATATCAACTTTCGTCTCACAAAGGTCGGAAGCCATTTACTTGCGCGCGTCTGTATCTTTTCCATTTTATTCTCGTTTTTGAGATATAGGCACCATACAACTGCTGCATATATCAACTTTCGTCTCACAAAGGTCGGAAGCCATTTACTTGCGCGCGTCTGTATCTTTTCCATTTTATTCTCGTTTTTGAGATATAGGCACCATACAACTGCTGCATATATCAACTTTCGTCTCACAAAGGTCGGAAGCCATTTACTTGCGCGCGTCTGTATCTTTTCCATTTTATTCTCGTTTTTGAGATATAGGCACCATACAACTGCTGCATATTTCAACGTTCGTCTCACAAAGGTCGTGAACAATTAATTCAATATTTCGCCATCCATGTACAGTACTTAAAAGCATTTCTAAAGTTGGAAAGCATGGCGCATATGCTCCTCACATAATATTCTTTATATGGGCCTTGGGTGAGTTTTCTATCCAGATCCACCCCTGGCTCTTTCTCTATCAGAATTCTTTAAACTATCTTTTTTCACATAATTTGTAAGTTGTTTGTGCCCTATTGTCTAAGCAAGCGATGAGACACAATAACATGGCTAAAGTAAGTTGACCGGACCACACACTAGAAGGTGAAGGGACGACGACGTTTCGGTCCGTCCTGGACCATTCTCAAGTCGATTGAGAATGGTCCAGGACGGACCGAAACGTCGTCGTCCCTTCACCTACTAGTGTGTGTGGTCTGGTCAACCCTATTGTCTAATATTCCACATTCCATAACATGGCATTTATTCATATTAAATTCCATTTGCCAAGTGTTGTACCATACCTTGAGATGATTTCAGGGCTTAGCGTCCCGCAGCCCGGTCGTCGACCAGGCCTCCTTAATTAATTATTTTGTCCAGGTGTTTTTGAAGGCCATGACAATTGTCTTATGTTTCTTGCCTTCCCCTAAAAGCTTGGTATCATCAGCAAACATGAACATATAATTCTGTATTCCTTCTGGGAGATCGTTTATATAGAAAATTAACATTGCTGATGCGAGAACTGAACCCTGTGGTACTCCACTGGTAACATTTCTCCAGTTAGATACATTGTCCCTGATTACTGCACTTATTTTTCTGTCAGAAATTATTTCATCTATGTCAGACATCTCCCTGTCACTTTTCCAGTACAGTATGTTCCAGTTTCCAGAACAACCTCTTTATGTAGGACTGGTGAAAGCGTTTTGTTTTTTAAAACTAAATAAATGCAGTCAACCCAACTACCGCTTACCAGTAAAATCTCTGTGGCTCTACCACAGTAATATCGCGTCAGCCAGAAAAATGATCGGATGGATTACGAGAAATTTCAAATCCAGGGATCCCATCACAATAGTTGTACTCTTCAAGTCACTTGTTTTGTCCCATCTTGAGTACTGCTAAGTACTCACTTCCCCCTTCAGAGCAGGAGAGATTGATAAATAGAGGGAATACAGAGAACATATACGGCACGCATAGACGAGATAAAACACCTAAATTATTGGGATCGTCTCAAAGCTCTCCAAATGTACTCTCTAGAAAGGAGACGAGAGAGATATCAAATAATATACACATGGAAAATACTGGAGGGTCAGGTCCCAAATCTACACAGTAAAATAACAACGTACTGGAGTGAACGATATGGAAGAAAATGCAAGATTGAACCAGTGAAGAGCAGAGGTACCATAGGCACAATCAGAGAACACTGTATAAACATCAGAGGTCCGCGGTTGTTCAACGTCCTCCCAGCGACTATAAGAAATATTGCCGGAACAACCGTGAACATCTTCAAGAGAAAACTGGACGGTTTTCTAAGAGAAGTTCCGGATCAGCCGGGCTGTGGTGGGTATGTGGCCCTGCGGGCCGCTCCAAGCAACAGCCTGGTGGACCAAACTCTCACAAGTCGAGCCTGGCCTCGGGCCGGGCTTGGGGAGTAGAAGAACTCCCAGAACCCCATCAACCAGGTATCAACCAGGTACCATAGAAACCAAGTAGACTCTTTCTGATCGAAAACTATTGTGTATACCTGTTATATCACCTCTCTCCGGGTATTCTACCCATTTGGTTTTAATTATTTTTGTCTAATGTCTTGACTTCCACGCTTTTTCCATACATCTGCCAAGACGCCTGTTCACATGGATGACTGAAAAATCAATTGGAGTGCTGAGCTGGGATGCATATTCTCTGAGAACTCAAGGTGAAACTCCGTCAGGGCCAACGGCTTTGTTCCTACTTTGCTCCTTGAGCATTTTTAGCCACTTCTTGCGACGCCTCTGCATACTCTATTATTCTCTGAAATTCGTATTATGATACTGTGTAACATGAATGTAGTTTCTTCATGCTACGGTACGTTTAGACAGGCACTGCTGCATATTGTGACAGTCACTGTTTGTTTACAGTAAGATGAATGTAGTCTCACATTACAGTACGTTTAGATAGTCACTGCTGCGTATTGACACTGTGTCACTGTATACAAGATGAATGTAGTCTCCTCACGTTACAGTACGTTTAGACAGTCACTGCTGCGTATTGACACTGTGTCACTGTATACAAGATCAATGTAGTCTCCTCACGTTACAGTACGTTTAGACAGGCACTGCTGCATATTGACACTGTGTCACTGTATACAAGATGAATGTAGTCTCCTCACGTTACAGTACGTTTAGACAGGCACTGCTGCATATTGTGACAGTGTCACTGTTTGTTTACAGTAAGATGAATGTAGTCTCACATTACAGTACGTTTAGATAGTCACTGCTGCGTATTGACACTGTGTCACTGTATACAAGATGAATGTAGTCTCCTCACGTTACAGTACGTTTAGACAGTCACTGCTGCGTATTGACACTGTGTCACTGTATACAAGATGAATGTAGTCTCCTCACGTTACAGTACGTTTAGACAGGCACTGCTGCATATTGACACTGTGTCACTGTATACAAGATGAATGTAGTCTCCTCACGTTACAGTACGTTTAGACAGGCACTGCTGCATATTGTGACAGTCACTGTTTGTTTACAGTAAGATGAATGTAGTCTCCTCACGTTACAGTACGTTTAGACAGGCACTGCTGCATATTGTGACAGTCACTGTTTGTTTACAGTAAGATGAATGTAGTCTCCTCACGTTACAGTACGTTTAGACAGGCACTGCTGCATATTGTGACAGTGTCACTGTTTGTTTACAGTAAGATGAATGTAGTCTTCTCACGTTACAGTACGTTTAGACAGGCACTGCTGCGTATTGTGACAGTGTCACTGTTGTTTGTTTACAGTAAGATGAAAGTAGTCGCCTCACTTTACAGTACAGTACGTTTAGTCAGGCACTGCTGCGTATTGTGACAGTGTCACTGTTTGTTTACAGTAAGATGAAAGTAGTCGCCTCACCTTACAGTACGTTTAGTCAGGCACTGCTGCAACAAAAGGTTTTGCATTCGATTCGATCCTGCGATGGTCCAAGTGGTTGGGCAACATTTCCTCCCTCTGTCCTCGTAGCCCCTTCTAAGTGCTGTGTAGTCGTACTTATCTAAGCGCCTTATCCTAGTAATTACATAGTCTTCCCAGGTTTGAGACTTTCTTTTTTGCTAATTACTTTAATGACTTATATATATAGAGAGGTTAAAACTAATGTTTTTCAATAGTTTGTTTTTTGCCCCGCAGATTTGGAGAGTGTTCCCACCGCGGCAGGAACGAGGCTTCTGGTGTCGGGATGGTGGGGAGTGGCGAGACATCCCAACTATCTGGGAAACATCCTAATATTTATCGCTTTTGCTGCTCTCTGCGGTAAGTTATTTTCGCGGGTTAAGGGATAATGGGAAGGGAAGGGAACTATCAGGAGAGAGTGCTAAGCCATTAAGACTATGTAACTCTGGGAAGGGGTCAGGATAAGGATTTGGGATGGGAGGGTGGGGGGGGAGGGGAGGAATGGTGCCCCAATCACTTGGGGACGGTCCGGGATTGAACACCGACCTGCATGAGGTGAGACCGTCGTTCTACCGTCCAGAATTCTTGGATTGAATTATGATTTTTCTATTACAAATATAATAACAAAATTCGTTAAATTTTGTAATTATATTGTTAAATGTATAGTGCCATATTGCCCATTGTTAAATGTATAGTGTTATAAAAAGGGAGCCGGTCGGCCGAGCGGACAGCACGCTGGACTTGTGATCCTGTGGTCCTGGGTTCGATCCCAGGCGCCGGCGAGAAACAATGGGCAGAGTTTCTTCCACCCTATGCCCCTTTTACCTAGCAGTAAAATAGGTACCTGGGTGTTAGTCAGCTGTCACGGGCTGCTTCCTGGGGGTGGAGGCCTGGTCGAGGACCGGGCCGCGGGGACACTAAAGCCTCGAAATCATCTCAAGATAACTCAAGATAACCTGATGTGATCTTCATTTTTCTTCAATTCCGGCTGTTTTCATTGTAAATGATGAGCTTTACTATTGAATTTCTAATGAATCCATTCATACAGATTTTCTAAAAATAATTCAGTCTCCGTGGTGCAGTGGTAAGACACTCGCCTGGCGTTCCGCGAGCGCTATGTCATGGGTTCGTATCCTGGCCGGGGAGGATTTACTGGGCGCAATTCCTTAACTGTAGCGTCTGTTTAACGCAACAGTAAAATGTGTACTTGGATGAAAAAACGATTCTTCGCGGCAGGGGATCGTATTCCAGGGACCATAGGATTAAGGACTTGCCCGAAACGCTACGCGTACTAGTGGCTCTACAAGAATGTAACAACTCTTGTATATATCTCAAAAAAAAAAAAAAAAAAAAAAAAAAATAGGTCTATTTTGTGGTGTTTTAATGATTGTTATTTTATTTCAGGTTTCACCTATGCTTTGCCTTGGATATTGGTGGGTCTCGACACACTGTTTCTGGTGGGGCGAGTCTACGAAGTGGAGAGCGCGTGTAAAAAGAAGTATGGCCGAGCCTGGGATAGCTATACCGATCGCGTCAAGTACCGTCTGATACCAAAGGTCTTCTAGTGTGCGCGAGACTGCCAGATTTGGTCTCCGGGTTGACTCGTGTTGTAAGTACAATATGGTTACATGAAATACAAATAAAAAATACAGAACAGTGTTAAAATGTAAACTATCCACATGACCGTTTGCTAAATATTGTTAGTTATTCTCTAGTGTATCAATTTGACGGTTAATTCTCTCTGCCTTCAGAAGAGAAGCAGTTAAGTCTCTTCAGTATGAATGTAATTCTTACTGAAGGACATATTTTTTAACGAAGGTACTATATACTTCTTAAAATTTTGAGTGAAAAATTCGAGTTATTTTTAATAACTTATATATATTTTATATATATATATAACTTATTATATTTTGTCCCCTTTTCATAGCATGACCTAAGTAAGAGTACAATGTGTGTGCGTGTGTGTGTGTGTAATGCTATGCATTTAAGGCATTGTAAAATAGATACGTTTACGTATGGGTTACGTGCGTGTGCGTCTTGGTCATGAGTGATAGGTGATCATTTTATTGTCTTGACAAATTGCCGCCCATACACACACATGCGTTAATCAGTTACACGTGGCAAATTTTGACTCATTATTGCATTTACTGGTGCATATATAGCACCATTTAAATCCTATTTTGACCACCGACATTTATTTTGTGAATCTAAAACGTTTTTCACTTTATAATTACAATTATAATTACAATCGTAATAATTTTGATTATTAAATTAATTAATTAAATAATTACAATTATTAGTGCATACATCACAGTAATTGTTCATTGTTATAATTACAATCATAAAATAAAAGCTATTTCTGCATTTACATGCATAAATATCTTGCCTTTCATCACTGTGTTCAGGCGATAAGACACAATAACATGGCTAAAGTATGTTGACCAGACCACACACTAGAAGGTGAAGAGACGACGACGTTTCGATCCGTCCTGGACCATTCTCAAGTCGATTGAGAATGGTCCAGGACGGACCGAAACGTGGTCGTCCCTTCACCTTCTAGTGTGTGGTCTGGTCAACTCTCTGTGTTCACAGAGGGTAAGGGTATGGGAGAGTTTATTCTCTTTGATTACCACATGTGTTTGTCAACCTTGAGAAGATGTTGTGCTGAGGACCAGGATTCTCCAAGCAGGTAATTGTCCACTTAAGAGACCTGGGGTCAGATGCACAAATCGGTTACGCAAGCACTTACGAACCTGTACATCTTTTCTCAATGTTTGGCGGCTTCGTTTACAATTATTTAAAGAGTTAATGAGCTCCGAAGCACCAGGAGGCTGTTTATAACAATAACAACAGTTGATTGGGAAGTTTTCACGCTTGTAAACTGTTTAATAAATGTAACCAAAGCCGTCAAAGTTTGAGGAAAGATATGCACGTTTGTAAGTAATTGAGTAATTGCTGTGTGAATCTGACCCCCCTGTATGTCTTTCTTGATCATGGTGCCATAGTTTACACTCGTACAGTTTATGAGCTCCGGAGCAGTATGGGAGGGTCTGTATCGATAATAACCCCTGGCTTGTCGAGGTTCGAAGCTTGTAAACCTGTTTAATAAATGAAGCCTAAGCTGCCATGATTGAGGAACGATGTACAAGTCTTGTAAGTGAATACATAAATGCTTTAGGGTATCCTGCCCAGATCACCCAGTGTTCTTTGTTCCAAGTGCTCCAAGTTAGGGAAACCGGTCCGCCGAGCGGACAGCACGCTGGACTTGTGATCCTGTGGTCCCGGGTTCGATCCCGGGCGCCTGCGAGAAACAATGGGCAGAGTTTCTTTCACCCTATGCCCCTGTTACCTAGCAGTAAAATAGGTACCTGGGTGTTAGTCAGCTGTCACGGGCTGCTTCCTGGGGTGGAGACCGGGCCGCGGGGACACTAAAGCCCCGAAATCATCTCAAGATAACCTCAAGATACTCTTAGATTGGTTTATTTTAGAGACAAGAAATATTGTTATCTTGAGATGCCAATCTCAAGATAAGATGATCATCAAGATCAAGATCTCAAGATCAAAGATGATACATCTTTGCAAGGAGTGTTCTCATCACATTGTAAATAAATGTTCATATCTGGGTCTGGATTCATCAAGTATTTACATGTTAATTTATGAAAACTTTTACCTCCTTCCTTGATCATGGAGGCTTAATTTGTATTTATTAACGAGTTTACAAGCTGTGAAACGTCACACCACCTGGGGCCAGATTCACGAAGCGGTTACGCAAGCAATTACGAACTTGTCCATCTTTTCTCAATCTTTGACAGCTTTGTTTACAATTATTGAACAGTTAATGAGCTCCGAAGCACCAGGAGGCTGTTTACAACAATAACAACAGTTGATTGGCAAGTTTTCATGCTTGTAAACTGTTTAATAAATGTAGCTAAAGCCGTCAAAGATTGAGGAAAGATGTACACGTTCGTAAGAAGCTTGCGTAACTGCTTCGTGAATCTGGATCCAGGTCATCATCGTCATAGATTACCCTGTGGTGTTCCGGAGCTCATAACCTGCATAATAAACGTAAATGTAAATGAAGTAGCCACGATTAAGGGACGATGCAGCGGTTATTTACATGTAGACACGTAAAATGTTTGACGTAGCCCGACCCAGTATTGCTCAGCGGTTATAAGACATAGATAATAATTTTAAAATGCTGCAATGCTATTAGGATAAGTACAAAATGTACATAGTTATATATTTAAGATATACAGTATACAAACATTTTTAATAAGAAGAGGTCACTTGAGGATCGAGCTGAAGAGTTTCAACTAAAAGATTCAGGTTTATATGAAAGATAATTATCAGTAGGTAGTAATGGTAGTGGTCTATAAAAGTCGTAGATGATGTTTGACATGTGTGTGTGTCTTATTGTAAGTCATTTTTTTTTGGTAAGATTTCCAAGATCTCACAAACATGTAAGTAAGTTTACGGAACTTCTGTGCATTGTTATATGTTATATTTGACTATAGTCAGTATCCTTAAAAGGTTCTTGGCTCTTGCCTGTAAAGATTGGTACTGAAGATGCTGCCTCCAGATATGTGTTTAGATTGGGAAAGAAAAAAGACATTTTGGATTTTATGATAATTTAAAAAAAAAAATACTGATTACCTTCTATTGTGTAAATATAAGTAAATACGCATTTCAATTTTGTGCAAAATTTTTAAGCTAATTGTATAGTTTACAAAGAGTGAATTTTGTATGTAATTTTTTTAAATAAATTTTTTTTTTCTAAGATGCTGTATTAATATCATGGTATAGTTATTGTTTTTCTTGCTGTATTTTGCTAGTTCCTGGTCGTTACAACGACAGCCTTGCTACCCGAAGGTCAGTGTTTGGTCCAAGTAGTTGGCACCATTCCTTCCGTCTGTCCTATCCCAGCTCCTTGTCCTCATATCCCAGCTCCTTGTCCTCATATCCCAGTTCCTTGTCCTCATATCCTAGTGATGTCCTCGTATCCCAGCTCCTTGTCCTCATATCCCAGTTCCTTGTCCTAATATCCTAGTGATGTCCTTGTATCCCAGCTCCTTGTCCTCATATCCCAGTTCCTTGTCCTCATATCCTAGTGATGTCCTCGTATCCCAGCTCCTTGTCCTCATATCCCAGTTCCTTGTCCTCATATCCTAGTGATGTCCTTGTATCCCAGCTCCTTGTCTTCATATCCCAGTTTCTTGTTCTCATATCCCAGCTCCTTGTCCTCATATCCCAGTTTCTTGTCCTCACATCCCAGTTCCTTGTCCTCGTATCCCAGTTCCTTGTCCTCGTATCCCAGATCGTTGTCCTCATATCTGAGTGTTGTCCTCATATCCCAGCTCCTTGTCCTCATATCCCAGTTCCTTGTTCTCATATCCCAGTTTCTTGTCCTCATATCCCAGCTTCTTGTCCTCATATCCCAGTTTTTGTCCTCATATCCCAGATCATTGTCCTCATATCCCAGATTGTTGTCCTCATATCCCAGTGTTGTCCTCGTTTCCCAGCTCCTTGTCCTCATATCCCAGTGTTGTCCTCATATCCCAGCTCCATGTCCTCATATCCCAGCTCCTTGTCCTCATATACCAGCTCCTTGTCCTCATATCCCAGCTCCTTGTCCTCATATCCCAGCTCCTTGTCCTCATATCCCAGCTCCTTGTCCTCATATCCCAGTGTTGTCCTCATATCCCAGCTCCTTGTCCTCATATCCCAGTTTCTTGTCCTCATATCCCAGTTTCTTGTCCTCATATCCCAGCTTCTTGTCCTCATATCCCAGTTTTTGTCCTCATATCCCAGCTCCTTGTCCTCATATCCCAGTGTTGTCCTCATATCCCAGCTTCTTGTCCTCATATCCCAGTTTCTTGTCCTCATATCCCAGCTCCTTGTCCTCATATCCCAGCTTCTTGTCCTCATATCCCAGTTTTTGTCTTCATATCCCAGCTCCTTGTCTTCATATCCCAGCTCCTTGTCTTCATATCCCAGCTTCTTGTCCTCATATCCCAGATCCTTGTCCTCATATCCCAGCTCCTTGTCCTCATATCCCAGTGTTGTCCTCATATCCCAGCTCCTTGTCCTCATATCCCAGTTTCTTGTCCTCATATCTCAGCTTCTTGTCCTCATATCCCAGTTTTTGTCCTCATATCCCAGCTCCTTGTCCTCATATCCCAGTGTTGTCCTCATATCCCAGCTTCTTGTCCTCATATCCCAGTTTCTTGTCCTCATATCCCAGCTCCTTGTCCTCATATCCCAGCTTCTTGTCCTCATATCCCAGTTTTTGTCTTCATATCCCAGCTCCTTGTCTTCATATCCCAGCTCCTTGTCTTCATATGCCAGCTTCTTGTCCTCATATCCCAGCTTCTTGTCCTCATATCCCAGATCGTTGTCCTCATATCCCAGTACTTTTGTCCTCATATCCCAGTACTTTTGTCCTCATATCCCAGTACTTTTGTCCTCATATCCCAGCTCCTTGTTCTCATATCCCAGCTTCTTGTCCTCATATCCCAGCTCCTTGTCCTCATATCCCAGCTCCTTGTCCTCATATCCCAGTTCCTTGTCCTCGTATCCCAGCTCCTTGTCCTCATATCCCAGTTCCTTGTCCTCGTATCCCAGCTCCTTGTCCTCATATCCCAGTTCCTTGTCCTCATATCCCAGTTCCTTGTCCTCGTATCCCAGCTCCTTGTCGTCATATCCCAGCTTCTTGTCCTCATATCCCAGTTTCTTGTCCTCATCTCCCAGCTCCTTGTCCTCATATCCCAGCTCCTTGTTCTCATTACCCAGTTTCTTGTCCTCATATCCCAGCTCCTTGTCCTCATATCCCAGCTCCTTGTCCTCATATCCCAGATCCTTGTCCTCATTACCTATTGCCTTGTAATGTATGCATTTGACTATTTCTTTGACTTGCAGGTGTTTGTACAAATACACACAGGTGTTAAAATAGTTATAATATATATATATATATATATATATATATATATATATATATATATATATATATACAGTATATATATATATATATTTGGCTTTGCGAACTTACCAGACAAAGAGTACAGTAAGAAGATTTGTTTGTTTTTCTCATTCTTTCCATACAACTTTCTTGTACTTCTAATGAGAAAATACCTGTATAGTAATTATGTTCTGGGGTGGCCCCTCAGTGGCTTCTCAGAGCATGTGCACTGGTACCGCAGGCCATTAACATCTCGCTAGGACTTTGTAACCTTCTCTCTGTCTACTGGGAGCCGACACCTACCCCTTCACAGAGATGGAGGAGCTGTAGACACCATAAGCCTACTCTCATTGATGTCAAACTCACAAAAAATGTCAAAGGGGGCATCAGAAAAACTCAAATGCTCGTAAAGAAGTGTTTGATATGATTGAATATGAATCAAAAACTCAAAAGCATTCCCAAGTAACAAAAATACCATCTCGCCACTTTTTTCCTCCAGTTTCAAGGTACAGTGCTATTTAGCAAGGATCTGGTACAGCCAGATCATGCACTCTCACCTAGTAATTATCTAAGTGTCGTTACAGGATGAGAGCTACGCTCGTGGTGTCCCGTCTTCCCAGCACTCTTTGTCATATGTCTTACCATCCACCTCTTCTCCAGGGACTGATGTTTCTGGAGGGATCTGCAAGTAGTACTGCAGTACTGCTGGTGTCCTGTCCCTGTCGAGGCAACTTATAATTCCTCAATTCCAGATTATTTGTATAATACCTGTGGTATAAATTGTGCCGACGGGTAGGCGGATCCATGCGTTTAAACCCTATTGGTGAAGTTTCTTGCACTTGTGCGCCCTCTTATGCATTAAATTGGACCTTTAAGTCCGTGTAAAATGCTGAAGTTGGAGGACAAGATCAGACCTGTTAGTCATGTGGCTCTAATTTACAAAGTTTATCAAGTAATTTGTAGACTGAAGGATTTTTATAATCTTTTTCCATTCTTTGATACAGAAGTCCAGATGATACACTGGTAAATTACATCAATAGGAATGGTTTGAATAACCACTAACAAGTTTTTTACACTTCATTGTCCTATTGCCTTGTATTTATCTAGGATAAAATTGTAAATGGACAAGCAAAT